AAAGATTTTTGTAATTAGAAACAGTTTAATATAGCAATTTCTTCGATTTTATTTCTTTTTCAAAAGCAAAGCTTTTTAATATTTGATATATACATATTATAAATCATTAAAAAATATTAAGTAGCTTTATATATAAATTTAGTTAATTATTAGCAATATTGTTAAAAATTATCAGCAATATTGTTAAAAAATTATTATTAAAACTTATAAATCAAAAAATGAATAAAAATAGAATATAGAATTACAAAACTTATTATTTTTATCATGTTTCTATTATATATTATCTTTATCATTAAAATAATAAATAGAATAATTCAATAATCTATTAATTATTTACATAATTAAAATAAATACTAAAATCTTGCTTTTTTTAACTGCAAAATGTCACTCAAAGATTAATAAAAATTTTATTTTGTATATAACATAAAAATATAGATATTGAATACTTATTCTATATGATTTTATTCGTTAACAAACTATATTATCCAATATATTAAAGTAATTCAGAAATTTATTATATTATATATACTGCATTTTTATTAAAATTTATTTAATTTTAACAAAATATTTAATAATTTGTATTTTCCAAAATATAAAAAAGGAATTCTAAAAATAATTACTATACATATATAATTTATTTATTCTGTTATGATTCATTATAAATTTCAATATTAATATATTTTATTTAAAAAACTATTATAAATGATTTTATAATAACAATTTTTAAAGTATTCGTTTAATATTCATATATTTAAATATATCATTATTATTATATAATTTCATATGTCTTAATAAACAATTCAATGAATAAATTATAGTTAAAATAAAATTACCTTGTTTCTTTTGACGATATTTTCCGACATTTAATTGATTTTTCACATTTTGAATTTTACTACCATCAGATTGTTTTGTGGATTTAAATCTTATATTCTTTCTTTCGGTATAATTTTGCCAGTAAATTTTCCAGTTTTCATCGGTAATCATTATTTCTTTTCATTCCTTGTCTGGTTACTGCATAACCTCAAATCTATTATTTCATTAGGTCCGTTTTCAGCTTAAGTTTCTTGTTTCTGTTTAAATAATTTTAATTTTATTTAAGTTATTTTTTATCATTAAGAACTGGTTAACTTAATTTGTAAATAATGCACTTGTGATATTCCTTATAAAATATTATATATAGATTAAAACTACACAATACTTACGAACGTCTGAACTCTCTGACACTCTAAGGCCGTATAACGTACAAATAATATACGAATAATTCTTTCGGCTTCCGTGATCGTTTACGTCTAATTTTTTTATATCTTTGACCCTCACACTTGTGTTTATTTAACTATACTCCTATAACTTCTCGTTTATATTATACATATTTAATTTGTATTATTTCTCAATATATTCATCAATATATAGTCAAAATATCGTTGTATTTTGATTTATTATAACTAATAATATAATTTAGAATGATTCAAATTGATTCGAATAAACATTATGTGTCATGAAATAAATTTGAATTGCTTCGAACCTTATTCGCAAGTTTAAAAATTCTAAAACTCGAAAATCTTAGAAATCTCAATCATCATTAAAAGTTTTGATTTAAAATTCATTGAAATCTAAAATTTATTGAAAATCGTGATAGTTTTGAAAGTACTAGAATTAAAATTGGAAATCTTAATTATCTTGAAGGTCTTGAAAGTCTTCAAAGATTTGAAACTTTTACTATCTCATTCGCCTACATACTTCTCGCTCTTACCAATGTTATCTGATTCCGGTTTTTTGCCGGCATTTTATTGTGTCGTACATTCCGTAGGTATATTATAATCAACAGTGAAAAATAAATAATGACTCTCAAGAATTTCGAATCTTACAAGATTTTCGAAAATTAAAGAAAATTAATATTATCAAGATTTTTAAGATGATTAATCAAGATTTTCATAATAATTGAAACTTGTAAAACTTTTAAGAATTTTCTTTGTATCAAATTTGAATTTTCCGCCATTTTAAAAATTCAAATCGACTTGAAGTTTTCAAAATTACATAAGTAACTATATACATAAAAAACATAAGATTTGTCTAATAAATTAATTATTTAACTGAATAAGTCTAATTCACATATATACAGGTATTGGCTAACAAAAAAATATCTTTAACAAAAATTGTTAGATAGATAAATATATACTTATCTATCTATCTCATCAAGAACATTTGATTAGTATTATGATATTATATTAAAGTAAATAATACAATAATATTTGAATTTTTAATATTTATATGTAATAATTTCTTTTATGTTCGAAATTTATATTAGTAAAACAATATATATTTCATATATAGAACTATTAGTTAGTAAAAAATATTCCGATTTTCATAGTAATATATTTCATAATATATATATATATTAGTGAAATTAAAATAAGTAAAAATATTTATTTTAATCTAAATATTAATATAAAATATGTAAAATTAATTATAATATGTAAAATATGTAAATATGAAATTTTATTTAGAAAATAAACAACTTTTACAAATTCTTTATGCGTCAATCTTTAAAAATATTAAAACTATTCAATTTGAATTAATTGAAAAATTTATTAATATTAAAAACAAATAAAATAAACAATTATTTTGTTCACTTTGTATTTGTACATATTATTAATAATATTTTATTTGTTAAAATCAGTTCTTTAATTAAGAATTTCGAAATTTAATTATTCAAATTCTTTGAAATATTATTTTTGCCATTTATAGCACAATTTTCTTATCATGCATTTTATAAAAAATATATATATTTATATATATAGAGTATTCTATTATTCCATATGACTTATCTGAAGAAATATATAATTATAATTTCTCATAAAAAAAATCAATGATTATCGTTGAACAATCGAATTTATAAATTCAATTTCATTGAAAACTAATTCTTAAATAAAATCGTATTTTTTATTTTTTATACTTATTTTCATATATAGAATTTTCTATCAATCATTCTAGTTTTATCAATAGTTTATTATCTAATCGATAAATGACTAATTTCATTTATATATAAAATTTTTCCAAACTGAAACTTCAAATGAAAAATTTTATTCTTTCTTTTCGATTTATTTTTTCACAAAGAATTATTCCTTATTCGATTATATCACAAATAATGAGATATTTTGCATATATTGTATTGTGTTTTGACAATATAAATTTTAAAATATATATATTATTTATTATTTTAATTATACATTTTCTTTTAAATATGAATTGAATTAATTTTTCTTTAAAAAAAAATAAAAAAAAAAATGAAGAGGAATTCAAGAGAAATATTTTATTAATAATTATGTAAATTATTTGAGACTATATAATTCAAATTCAAATAGATATTAACAGTCCTTTATCCTAAACAAAACTTGTATAAACCTTGAGATATATAAAAACGCTTGAAACCGAATTGTTAAATTTGTAAACATTTCTTATTATAAACAAGATGTTAATGTATTCGAGGGAAGGTATCTTTGAAACTTCTAGAAACTAAATTCTAGAGGACAAATATAAAAATAAATATGTGAAAATATCAGTTTCGTCTTATTGATTAAATTATAAGCAATTTAAAAATGTATTAGATGAAGTGAAAAATATATAGATAGAATGAAATAACTTTATCTCTGTTACATTATCATGTCACTATGTTTCGCTTTATCTAAAACTTTAGAAGTAATTATTTTTTTATTCATTTCTTCAATGCAATTCAAACTTTTTTTTGCTTATTTTAATTGCTTATAACTTAAATAAATATTAATATTTTTGTAGAATTTGTATAACTTTTTGCTTTAGGTTTTAAAATTGATTCTCTATTAAGGCGAATATTATATCTTCTAAACGTTTTCTATTTCAATTTCAAAATTAACAAATTATAAAATATTATTTAAGAAATATAAAATTATAGATTTATTTATATATTTATTTATAATATTAAAATTCAAAAGAATTCGATAAAATAATATAAATATAGGTTCTAGAAATTCTTAAAATGTTGATCTTCTAATAAATAATTTATTGCATAAATTATATTAAACAAAGATATAGTCTTAAATCAGTTCTTTTTTTTATAATATATTTATAAGTTTTTGAATAGATTATAAATTATGTTAAAATTCTTAAAATATGAAAAATTTTTAAAAAATAATTTTTTTTGTTTAATGTTACAATTATTTGTATTTTACTTTTCAACTCTCATTGAATTTCTCAAAGATTAATATGACATATGTAAAAGAATCAATAAATATAATACAATGTAATATATTTATTTTATTTGTAATAATGTTTCCAATAATTTCAAAATTTATCCTTCATTAAAAACAGAGAAAAAAACATATAATTTCATTTTATTATAGAAGTAATTATTTTTTTATTCATATCTTAAATTAAAATTTCAATTTCTTAAAATTTTTATCCTTTAATTATGAAGTACATACAGAATGCTCGAAAGAAAAAAATTTAAAGATTAAAATGAATATAAAAATTGATATATAAAAATGTTTTTTAAACTTATTTTCAAGTTATCAACAATGTAATTTTGAACTGATAGATAAAGCAAAATAGAAAAAGAAAAAGAAAGTGTGAAATAGAGTAATATAACTTTATTCTATCTTGCTTTAACAAACATTTTTACATACCAACTTATGATTATTTTAATCTCTAGAATTATTCTATAAATTTTTTATCCATTTTATCAAATATTCAATATATATTTTTTCTAATTTTTATTAAATAAAATGTTTATTTTTAATGAAATAATTAAATTTTATTAACATTATTTTTCTTAAAAATAAAAAAGTTTTAATCAAAATTAATTATAAATTATTTCAATAAAATTTTGACACTTACAATATTTTTTATTTAAAAAAACATTTAATTAAATATTTTATTTTTGAATAAAATATTTAATTTTTGAATAATTAAAGAAAATAATACTAATTAATAATTATTATATTATGAATATAGAGAATCTGTGAAATTATGTGTGGCAAACCTGACTGACTCATGACGTCATTTAAGTTTTTGCGAAGCATATTATATGTTAGATGGTAATCCTGTCTCTATTATAATACGGTTTGGGAAGACTTTTTGGCGGTATATAATCTTCTTCGCGTGATTTGTCGCATTTCATGCGGCATTATAAACGTGACTATAAATAATGGAATTTATATAAATATAAAATTTCTATAAAAGTTATTATTATATTGATTACGTTTATTTTAATTGCATTCAAAAGGTAAATTACATATATATATATTTTTTATTATATAGTAATTGATATTTTCAAAATATCATTAAAAACTATATTTATAAATATTATGTATTAATTTTAGCATTTTTTATGTATATATTTGATTTCCATTATTTTTGGTAAGTAGTTTATTATTTTTTATAATTATATTATATTATCTTATTTTTTATTTTTCTTATTCTATTATTTTTATTATTTCCTTCATTTTATTAAAAATCTTTTTTATTATTTTTTATCAAATATATGTTATTACAACAAATACATAATTTACACTATTATAATATGTATATTATATTATAATATTATTAATTATGTTATAATATTTATTATTATATTTACTATTATAATTACTATTATAAATTAAGTTATAAAAATAATTAAATTATTTTCAATTTATTATTTTTTTTAAAAATTAAAATACATGTATAATAAATACATAAAATACTTTAAGCAACTTATATTAAAAAAATTATATTTTTTTATCTTGTTATCTAATATTTTTTATATTATATTTATTATAATATAAATTATATTTAATTATTTAATTATTTTTTTTCCATTAGTAAGCTTTATTATATTTTATAAATTTTTGTTACAATTTTAAGTTAAATCTTGAATATAAAATATAATATTTTTAAATAGAATATGTAATATAAAGTAAAGAAATATAAAATTTGAAATAAAATTTAACTTTAAAGTTTTCTTATAATCTATTGAGCAATATTACTTTTTTTTTAATTTTGATTTTCTTTAATTATCACATAGATTAATGATAAATATAAATTTTTTTTATTTTTTTATATAACTTTTGTTCTTAATGTTATGTATTTCTTTATTTAATATTATAAAATACATAATTTGCATTTCTATTGATAATTTTATCTTCACAATTCTATGCAGAATGTTGTTCTTAGAATTCTATGCAGACTTCTCAGCCTTTTTTTTTCTCTTATTCTATATTTCTTTTCCATCTCTAATTTTTTTAGTCCATGTTGATTTCTTTTTTGCTTTTTAATTATTTTTTTTCTTATCCTTTCTGTAGAGTCCTTCTTTTTTCTATCTTTTTCTGACTCTTCTCTAGTTTTTTCTATTCTTTTTTCTAAAACTTAAATTACATTATTTATTTCTCTTCTTCTCTTTATTTTTTTCTTAATTTTTCTTATTTATTAATTTTTTATTAATTTATTAATATTTTTAAACAAAATTACAAAATTATTATTATATATATTTTATTTCAATAATTTTTCCTAAATCATTTTTTTTGTATTGAAGATTTTTTCAAATAGATTTTTATATTGTGTATATATATCTATATATATTATTATGAACATTGATAATCACAATATGAAACTATATATTAATAAATATTATAAATAATTGTAAAATAAAATAAAAATCTATGAAAAAATTATTTTCACGCTCGTGTAATATATTTCTATCAATATATTCATCAGGAAGCAAATCATTCTTGCAAATCTCTTCTAATCGATGCTTGTATATCTTTTTTATACTTATATTAATTTATTTCAGCTTTTTTTTTTTGAGTTGTTTGTTTCATATCTATCGCATTCTTATACGATTAATATTTTTTATTTTTGTTCCGCATTCACATTTCGATAAATTTGCTAGACTTTCCTATCTTGATTTTGCTAAATTATAATGATTGATCTAATTCTGCTTTTCTCTTTAGATCATTTATTTTATTGAACCATAGATTTATTATTGCAATTGTTCTTTTCTTTTTTAAAATATTGTTTTTCTATTATTAATTTTTATCTATTTTTTCTTCTCCTTTTCAAATCAATTCTTATTAATTTTTTAATATTAGACAGTTTAGAATATTTTTTAAATCTGAGCAAATCGGACAAAAAGACAATATCTAGCTACTATTTTTTTACTAATAAAAGTTTTTCTTATAATAAAAATTCAATTTCAATAAAAAATGGAGTTAGTTTTTATATTCAACTTTTCAATTAGATTAACATTTTCAATTTATATATATATTATTATATATTTTTATACTTGTAGTTGTCTCGATCGTGTTAATTTTTATCATTATTATTTTTTTTTAATCAAATAAGTTATCTGATATTTTTTTATCACAGATCATATATTTTCTGTCTATTATAATTAATAATCTCTTCTAATTTTTTTGAATTTAGGCTTTCATCATTGCATCCTTTATTATTTTCTTAAGTTCTCTTCTTTTATTCTACTTAATTCTTATAAGCCATTTAGCAATTATTGTATTTTGTTCATATCTTTTCTTTGTGATGTATCTTTCTACCATTCTTGTATTTTATTCATGTATTATTTCTATATTTATATTTCATATCTATATGAGAATTTTTGTCTCAATTTTATTATTCCTTATTTCATTTGAGCGATCCTATATTCATTACCATTTTTATTGTATATCCTTTTGGATGCAATTTTTCGATTATTTCTTCCAACGATATTATCTATTACCAAAGTGACATGCGCTATCCGGAATCCTGTAAAAGATAAAAGATTAGTTCTTATTTTTAAATCTGAAGAGTATATTCGTTGTCGGATATAGTTCCTTGTACTATTTAATTTAATTGAAACAACACGGTAAAGTTCTCTTTCTTGTCGAATCATTGAGCGAATTTTTAGCAGATGAGACAATTTTCGGTTGTTTCTTTATACGTTCTCCTTTCGTATCGAGTTGATTGAATGTTTCAAGTTGTTCGAAGTTAACTTTTTATTTATTCTTTTTTTTTTTTTGCTTTATAGCAATTATAACATTATTCTTGAACAATTTATTTTTCTTAAAAAATTTAATAATAAAATATCAAAGTCGAGATGCGATTTATCAATTCTATTGGCATGAAAAGTTTATACAAAAAACAATACAGAATACGTCACAAGTAATATTAAAAATTTAATATTATCTGTATTATTCAATTCTCAATTATTCTATATGCGATGATTTATTTCACAAGAGAAAATTAGATAATTCATACTTACTCTTCTTAATCAATTTCTTCAGCCTTATATTCTCTTTATTATCTTTTTCAAATTTAGCTGATTCCACGAGGATTAGAAGAATCACAAATATCAGATACTGACATTATCCTCCACGCCAATCTGAAGGTTATTTAATTAATCTCTCTATTATATTATAATATTATACACACAATATATATAGATATACTTACATTTCAATTTCCCACGCAATGTTTACGCTTCAGATTTTTCTTATTTACCACTGAAGACGCATCTTCCCGTTCAACTTAAAGAATTAGATAGGTTTGAGGATCCTCGCTTGCTTTTATCTTCTTTTCTTTGTTTTTTTTCTCCCCTTTTCACAAAAAAAATCCTCGAGAACATCCCAAATCGGATTCTTATCGATTAATATGCCATTGCCATCTTTAAGATTCTTTTCAAAGATCGATAGAACCATTATCTCCACGATGCCAGGATAACCGACCGACTATTACATTATTTCATGGCCGCAAATATTCATATTGTCAATATGGGTCCCCATACTGATTGCGGTTTTGTGAAATGTTTTGTAAAATGTCGGAGAGAAGTTTGACAATAGTCTTTCTCAATAAAAGTCTTCATAGAAAATAATTCCCCCTGTCCATATGCTTGGATAAAAGTCTGTAATCGGATTTTGACTTACTTTGTTTCATTCGTTTCTGGCAAACCTTCTATTTTCGCATCACTAGGTATCCGCAGAAAGTAAAGTCACGGTATTTCAATTTTTCCTACCAACATGTATTTTACAACAGTTGGCAAATTAATTCCAATTTCCGCCATCAGGACACTGTACATTTCCTCTTATATGTCAGATTCGTTTAAATATATTTTCACATAAAATGCGTTTTTCTCGTCATACTGTGAGGTTCTTTTCGATCCAATACAGATGTGAACCGAAACAGTCATGTCTCATTTACACTTATATAGTGGAATCTTTGGCTCGAAAAGCCGGAAAAAATTATTTTAGTGTTATTTATAGACCGAAGGTTATAATAGTAGGTCATTGAATTCGTCTAAGCGACAGTTGACATTATAGAATTAAAAATACATTTTAAGGATTTAAAAAATCAAAATGATTTTACTTTTCTATTGGAAAAAAGATTTTTTTCAAAATCTTATATAATGATATATAATGAATATAAATATATCTTATATATAATTTATAAGTGTCTGAATAACTATTTAATTTTTGTTCGAAACATTGTTTCTTCTACTGAAAAATTATCATGCTGATAATGAAGTACTTGCATTAAAAATTATTTTTGCTTGTAAATTATGTTGAAATGATGTAAATTATTATTTTAATGTAAAACATAATTTCAGATAATTTTCAGATAATTAAATTCATATATTTTTTAAAAAATATTTTGAAATTATTTTGAAAGTATCTATTTTATCTTTCCATTTGACATTATTTTTAGTATCACTTTAAATCTATAAATCAATTCCTGAGTTAATTTTTTTGTCATCAGGTTTTGGCACAAACAAAAATATATTCATTTTGTTTTTATATTTTTTCTAGTATTTTTTTTTTTTTTGCTATTGTAGATTTTCCCTCAATTAATTTTTTAATCGATAAATTATAAGAGAAATTATTGATAAAAATAATTATAATAATATTATATTTCAAATATTTTTATACGAGCATGTAAAGTTGAAGCAAAATTATGGTGTTTAAGAATTTCTTTCTTCTTGTTAAATCATTAAATTTCCTGGGAGTGGCACCATATATATAATTAAAGTGGCAATCGTAATTTGATTCATAATTTTTTTTAATTTTTGTTTCTTTTAATTTATATATTTTTATTTGTATAATACTTCTTCGTTTATCAAATTCTTTTATGAATCTTATTCTCATTAGATGATAATATCTAAGAGATGATGTAAAACTAGTTTTACTAAAATATTTTATTATTTTTAAAATAAATTAATTACAATAAAAATATAAATAATTATAAAAAAAATAAATTTTGAATTGTATATTGCATTTATTGAAATCTATTGCAATCTTTACTAGTTAATTTCATTTTGAATTTATTTTCATGTAAATTATTCACCATGTCTTTAATAATATTTTATAAACAGACAGCTGTATAAGTTAATAAATTTT